CAGTCAAATGTCTCCCATGGTGAAAACTGACACATTTTTTTCTGGATTTTTTTTGATGAATAGAAACAAAAAAGCATTTATTTGCAATCTTTTGTAACAAATGTCTTTGCTGTCACTTTAAAGGATCAGTTTAATGCATCTTTGCTGAATAAAAGTATTAATTTCCTTTAAAAAAAAAAACATTTTTACTGACCGAATCATTTTTGAACACTAATGTAAAACTACAAATTTTCCCTCAAGTATAAAATGTTTATTTTAGGTGTCCAACTCCAATTTTTATTTTAAGTATGAGCAGTGTTGCAAAGTTTACAAATCAGTCAAAAACCACAATAATCTTATTTAAATTAAAAAATAATTCACTGCGTCTGTCTGATTTTTTACATTTATATTTTTATTGAGCTGTCTTCTTGATACACTCATTTTCAGTATTTCTTTTTATCATATAGCGAACTATGTGGCATTCACTTTGTAGTGAATATGAATGAGTGTACAAGTCAGCGGTTTTGGATATGACTTAGTGTGTAAAATGTCAATTATGTTGTCTCGTGCATCTTATGCACCTTACTAGTTCAGTACTGTGAAAAAAAGAAATGAGCAGAGGCAAAATGTCCACACTTACACTCTTAGTTGTTGTGTGAGAATGTCTCTTGGCATTCTGCTTGCATCATCACTGATATTCATCACATCTGACAATGACTGAGTGGACAGTCAGTCTTAAAGATGGAATTTGAAAACCAAATCATATTTGTGGAAGCCATAATCACCTCCTGTAAGCTGTTGGTGTTTATTGAAGAAAATGCTTCAAACGTCCTGCTTTGATAAAAGCTTGGTGTATTGAAGGATTGACATTGCCACAGAAATCAGATACACTTTAGTATACAATTTCTTTCTTTTGTCCTGAAACCTTTCTTCCAAATATTGTGATGTGTGAAGTAATTATCCCTCCCTCTGTATTGAAAAGTTTGAGAGGGCCATTTTGGTTTGACAGTTTGTTTTACAATACAGCAATAGCAGTGTTTTGGAAGGGCTCTTTTTTTCCCCCCTTTTTGAGCGTTTCATATTCCTTGAAGTTTTGGCCAATGGATGGAATGTGGGTTTGGGTCACTTGATGGTCTTCATAGTGATTTAAAGATTTGTGGCTTTCAGTCCATATCTGATGTCATTGAGACCGTCTGTCTGCTACTCTTAAACAATTGCGTTTAGCAGAAAATTGACAGAAACTTACACAAGATTTCTATTTTTTTTTAAATGCTGTTCTTTTTCTTTCTATTCATGGAAGAATCCTGGAAAAAAATGTATCATCGTTTCCACAAAAATATTAAGCAGCATTACTTTTTACAAAATTATTAATAATTAGACATGTTTCTTGAGTAGAAAATCAGCATATTAGAATGATTTCTAAAAAAATTATGTGACACTGAAAACTGGAGTAATGATGCTGAAAATTAGCTTTTTCATCACAGGAATAAATACATTTAAAAAATATATTAAAATAGAAAACAGTTTGTAATATTTCACATTATTACTATTTTACTGTGTTTTGATCAAATAAATGCAGCCTTAGTGAGCATAAGAGACTTTAAAAAAACATAAAAATGGAGCAAAAATATTGATTACTCATCTTGTACTCCACACATTTGTCAAATCAAATGCTCTCTAGGATGACAAATAACAACGCTATCTCACAACCAATTCATACGTATTTTATGAGGTAGCTAATTCGTAATTTGTATGACCTCACTTGTACGATTTTGTATAATTTGTCTAGACCCCAGTGACAGGTAGGTTTAGGGGCGGGGTTAGGGGTAGCTCATTCGTACAAATTCATATGAATTGGGGAACATGTAAAATACGTACGATTTAGAAAAAATCATACAAATTTTTATGAGGTCGTACAAATTTATACGAATTAGCCACCTCGTAAAATATGCACGAATTGCCATGAGATCGGGTTGGAAATAACACCACCTGCAAGTGACATCAAGTGGCAAATAATACATCTTACTGGCAATTTAAAAAAAAAAATATATATATCCCACCCAGACTTCCTGCTTCCTCCTGTAGACCTAAATTAAAAGTTTTGCACCCATTCTCACTCTCATCTCTTTTGAGGATAAAGAAACCATCTTAAAAGGCGAACTAACCTTCCATTTTGCTCGTTGACCACTCGTCCCTCTTTGATTTACAGAGGCCACAGGCTTCACTTCACTTCCACTGCCAAAAGACATTAAATCAGCGACAGCAAAGTCTGCCTCATCATTTCACATTATTACTATTTTACTGTGTTTTGATCAAATAAATGCAGCCTTAGTGAGCATAAGAGACTTTAAAAAAACATAAAAATGGAGCAAAAATATTGATTACTCATCTTGTACTCCACACATTTGTCAAATCAAATGCTCTCTAGGATGACAAATAACAACGCTATCTCACAACCAATTCATACGTATTTTATGAGGTAGCTAATTCGTAATTTGTATGACCTCACTTGTACGATTTTGTATAATTTGTCTAGACCCCAGTGACAGGTAGGTTTAGGGGCGGGGTTAGGGGTAGCTCATTCGTACAAATTCATATGAATTGGGGAACATGTAAAATACGTACGATTTAGAAAAAATCATACAAATTTTTATGAGGTCGTACAAATTTATACGAATTAGCCACCTCGTAAAATATGCACGAATTGCCATGAGATCGGGTTGGAAATAACACCACCTGCAAGTGACATCAAGTGGCAAATAATACATCTTACTGGCAATTTAAAAAAATATATATATATATCCCACCCATACTTCCTGCTTCCTCCTGTAGACCTAAATTAAAAGTTTTGCACCCATTCTCACTCTCATCTCTTTTGAGGATAAAGAAACCATCTTAAAAGGCGAACTAACCTTCCATTTTGCTCGTTGACCACTCGTCCCTCTTTGATTTACAGAGGCCACAGGCTTCACTTCACTTCCACTGCCAAAAGACATTAAATCAGCGACAGCAAAGTCTGCCTCATCAATATTTGTCCCCCATAAAACACCGGCCGAGTAGCAAAAGTTCATGACAGGAAGAGGAAGCACCGCTGGTGGATTATGAAGTGTTTATTTACAAGGTTATCTGTCCTGCACCAGGGCTTCGGTGAAAGAGCATTCACGAATGATTTACCCCCTCCAGCATCTCCGGACGTCGTAACGCTGCCTCACCACAAGTGAGAATGTTTGGTTGTTTACTATTGGAGGACCCACCACAAACTCTTTTGTAAAGCTTTTCAGTAGTTAAAACTTTTTAACTAGCATTTTATAGATTCAGTTAATTTTGATTGTATGACTCACTGATTTGTTGTTCATTAACAGTATGAACAAAAGCCAAAGGTGATACTCCTTAAATTCAAAGTGTTGAAAAGCAGATCTTGCAGCTGTAATTGAACCCACAGTTTAGATATTCATAGCACATTTAGAACTGAAAGCAGTTTAAGTGCTGTCGATTCTCAAGATTCATGGCTATGGATGTTATACTATTGCCTATTTTGCTCTGCATGTGGTTAAGTCTTCATTTTATTGAAGTCTTCATATGAATATATTTGCCTGGTGTCGAAATAATGAGTCATTTGCATTCAGCCCGGTGCTTTTAAGTCTTGCTCCTAGCTGGAGTTCTCGGCTGCACTGAATTACGCCTTGTTTTCTGGTTAGAGATGTAGCACGCTGTTTACTTTGATGGGATATTTACAGAAAAGCTTCTTTGATTCACCTCCCGAGACTGCATTGAAAACGCCAGTGTAATCACCCTATGAACAAATGATGATGTCTTTGCCAGACCAATTGAGCTGTCTGGGAACTAATGAATGACTAGCCTGGATGCATCATCATGAGACATTATTTCAGAACTGAAGAGTAAATGATTTTACGGTTTACTTGTGTCTTTGTAAGTATATCTTATCTAGGTCATTACAGACAGACGTCAACTGCACCATTTGTAAAGAACCTTATAAAATGTGTTTTATTGCTTTTTGAATAAATATTTTAAAAAAGTGATAATTATACAACAGCAAACCACTCTTAAATAATCTTAAAACACTAAGCTTGTGGCCCGAGGCACTGATTTAACACAGTCATTTGGAATGATTATTTTAATAAATGAAACATATCACAATGTCTTAAAGGGATAGTTCACCCAAAAATTTTAATTCTGTCATTAGTTACTCACCCTCATGTCGTTCCAAACCCGTAAGACTTTTGTTCATCTTCTGAACACAAATTAAGATATTTTTTAATGAAATCTGAGAGCCTTTTGACCCTGCATAGACAGCAAGGGAACTACATCGTTTAAGGCCCAGAAAGGTAGTAAGGACATCATTACAATAGTCCATGTGACATCTTTGGTTCAACTTTAATTTTATGAAGCAATGAGAATACTTTTTGTGTGCAAAGAAAGCAAAAACATCTTTATTCAACGATTTCTCTTCTGTATCAGTCTTTGCCGCAGTTTGATTAATAATGCGGTAACCAGTATGTAGGCTGCATGTGTGTGTATGCATGCAATTTAATATAAAAATATATTTTATACTTATTGCAAACAAATAAATAAATACATTTGGTCACATTTTATTTTAAAGGGTTAGTTCACTCTTTATCCTACTCAAATGTGCGCATACGTTTTATTTGCGCATTTTTAGAATTTATGCGCATCTTGGCATTTCCATCCAGCGTTTTTTATGCGATATTCCAAAATGCACATAAAAATAGGTGGATGGAAACGCAGCTAGTGATGAACACAGAAGCGCAGTGGAGAGAGAACAAAGCAAAACGCTGTTCACGAATTATAAGTACATAACGAGGATTTGTAAAGAAAAATGTTAGAGAATTTCGATATAAGCCAAGAGGAGACTGGTTTTCCTTTGGGAAAGTAAGGAAGCTTTGCTTCCTTTGCTCGTGTAAACAAACATTGGTTTTTGCGAGACTCACATGCGCATGCTCTACGCATACATTCGGCAGCATCCGCCAGAAAGGCAGTCTCTCGTGAACATGCGTACGACAGTTAGCAGAAGTTACACAAAACTGTTTATATCGTTTTTTACAAAAACACATCGATTAGCTACAGGAGGCCTTTGTGCAGATAAATAACACCATTTAGGTAGACTTTAAGTTAGTGTATAGCGTCTAAGACATTGTTTAGAAGTCTAGACAAGTGGGAGAACAGACAGCAAAGGCAACAAAAAAGTCTTTTTTTGTATGTCATCCAGAGCAAGATGGCCCTTGCAGGCAGTCACAAAGTGTATTATCACACATTTTCAAGAGTGCAGAATTTCATTCAGTCATTGAAGGTGCCATGTAAATTGAAAGTGAATGTTCTTGTGTTATTCACAAGTGCTTCCACCCCCTCCTGTGTCACCAAGCGGAGAAAAAGCAGTGACAATTCATTTGTACAGGTGTTTAACTGTTTAAAATGTTTCCCTTGATCCTCCTCGTACTTTCACCTGAAAAAAAGTTGTTTTAACAGTAAGCCTAAAGCCATCGTGTCCTTTAAGATCGCAGCAGTGTCTTGCAAACGCATTCCATTATTCATGAGGCATATGATGCAATTCTCTTACCTTGATGCTTTGGCCATAAACCAGCTGTGCTGACAAGATTACGTTCGTCTTGACATGATCTTTGTGACGATTCCTCACTCTTATAAGCGTAACAGAAAATCATCTTTGTTTTATGCGGCCGTGAAAATATTCCCTCCCTTTTTCACAGAATGTATTGGAAAAAACATAAAAGTCACCTCTGTTTGTTTATAAATGCGATACTGTTGGGTTTTCGTGGTTTTAAATAATAGGACTGCAGGCTTATAACCAAGCTACTTGATAAATGGAGGAAGGAAAGTCTTCAAAGGAAAAAAAGCCGTCACTCTAACAGCACCTGGTTTAAAATAACTAATTTATTCAGTGAAAATGTTCCGTGTTTTAAATTCCTGTTTGTTACTTCTTGCTATTGTCTAGAGAGTGAATCCCACATCTGTGTGCTTTAGTTCTTCAGCTACAAAAAGTCAAGAGCACTTTCTCTGAACTTCTGCTCATGTCAGACTTCAAAGTCGGCGGGATTATCATTTTAATGTCACTTTTAGATGTTATTTTTTTGTACATTTCTAACTGAGCATATGCCACATCTTTCCCAGATATGTCAGCCTGCACTGAATTAAAAACTGAAACCGAATCTCAGGTAACACTTTACTTAAAGTCTGTTTATATAGCACTTTATAAATGTTGCCATAATGCCTTGTGCACATTTTCATCTATTGTATTTCATGTATATATATAAAATATATTATATATAAAATATATTATATATAAAATATATATTTCTATTTCTTATATAAATATATATTATAATAATACAAAATGTCATATTTATTGCAAAATAAATATATATCCGATATTTTTTCATAATTTTAGGGAGTTATTGGATATTTATTTATTAGTTATTTATAGTTTATAGTTAGTTATTTATTTTTATTTAAATAATGCATATAAAGTTTATTGTATATACATATTAAAATTAGTTTTAGAATTTCATATATTTTTATATAAAAAATATTCATATAAGGGGCATTCCTAAAGACATCATTATATGATATAGTACATGTAGTATTACATACAGTGGCGATCAAAATTCGTTATGTAGATTTGACTGTCATATCTCGTCAAAACCAGTGGCCTGTTTAACTGGATTTAGCTTCCCATTGGCCTTACCTTGAAAATGACAAGGCTCACCATGCTTATCAGAATCGATGATGATCCTGACAGGACAGAATGACCTTCATCCTGAAATGATTAGTGCTTTCGCGAAAGGCACGAGGGAGCCATTACTGTCAGCCAGGCCATGATCTAGAATAATCTATTTGTTTTCATTTCAGCATGTCAGCAGTTACCGAGATGGGCTCGAAAATGACTTCAAACGTATAACCGTATAATGTTATTTCAATGATATTTATCCCTTCACTCATCTTTACGGCGAGATCTGAGTTGTAATGAAGCCGATCAAGGATTCATCTAAGCACCTCCTGTTTCTTTTCTGCCATTTCAGCCAAGATCCGAGCATGTGCAGACGGAGGTGCCAATCATCTGTACTGGCTCACGGAGGGTCGTCGCGAGAGGTGAGAACCCTATTTTGGCTCCCATCACGATTGACTCGGAGGGCAGAGATGGATCTGGAGATGTCAAGGTTCTGGTGTCATTGCACATGTTCATTCTCAGAACGGCTGGACTTGTAGGAGGCCTCAGGAGTATCCCGCTTGCCAGAGTGCTTTCAGAGGACTTAACTCCTAATCCATCACCTTTTGTCAGTGCCTGACAGGCCAGATTCATCTCCAAGCCTCTAAATTGGGTACTTATCTCCCCTCCAGAGCCGTTTACAATTGTTTTCTTTTG